TTTCCTGTCTCGTCAAACCCTTGGCAAGACGGAAGGGAGGGAGGAGATGCCGAGCAGTATGCACAGTCCTTCTGGAACCAGGCTGCTCTCTGCTGGATAGGACAATGGCTCTGGGCACAGTGGCAGTCGCCACAGTGGCTGGCAGCAAACAGCCAGCATATTATCTCCTCAAGTGCTTCCAAGGGGAAAAATAAAGCCAAATATGCCACCAAGAACCCCTGAACCAGCAAGAGACAGTAACATATTCCTAATTCTAAATCACAAGTGATGTCTCAACAAAAGGCACATCTGCAAAAAAGCTACCAGTTTTATTTATTTTTTATTATTATTCTTGATGACAAAACAGAACAAAACCACAAGCTGGAGCCACAGAGGGCAAAATACAAATGAAATGGAAAACAAGTCTCTTGTCACGATCTCCTATGTTCAAAATGTCATTTTCAAGTTATTTTACTGGGGCAAACAGATCAAAATGGAGTCTCTTACTTTTGTAAAATGAGGAATCAAAAATGTACTGATCAATAAACAAAAAAATACCAAGAATCTCTAGTGAAGCTATTATATGAACATAATTAAGCACTTATGTTTTATCAATAAAAGATAACCAAGGTAAAGTGATGATTAGAAAATAGAATTAAACCAAAGCGAACACTTTGCAACCTTCCAGAAGCTTCTGTCCTAGAGTAGTGCTCCTCAGTATTTCTCAAAAGAACGATTCCTCTGAACTCACTAAGTTCTCAGGATCCCAATTCATCCTTTCCCTCCTCTATCTCTTCCCATTTCCCATCAAAGGGAAGTACAGTGTTGTCCAGCAGCTCTCAGAAAGAACGTGGGCTGGACTCACAGGATGGGAAGAATTGCCTGCTACACTGGCATGGGAACATGAAATGACAAGGTTTTTCTCCCAGTTTTAGCAACTATAAACAAAAGATCATTTAGCAGCTGTGTTTTCACCAATAGGAATGCACCTTTACTTCATGAATTAAGCTCCTCTACAATAAATAAGAAAATCAAAATGTCTAAAAAATTAGCTGAAATAAAAATTGAAAGATAAAGTTTTCAAAAATAGAGCACTGTCCAGTTAAAAATGTCTAATGTTCACTGGAAGTATTGAAAGGCAGGCATTTTTATCAAAGAGCAATTGTCACTATAACAAAAACTGTAGTTGCCAACATGAAGTTTTTAAAATGGCAGGGTATTTGTGGAAACCAAAGAAAGGAAACATCAGCAAGGACACAAAGTGAGCAGTGGTGCTTTGGGTAAAAACCTCTGAGAGATAAATGACATTGGCCCCAGAGGCGGGAATCTGGCCAACTGTCTTGGTTCCAAGGCAGACGAATGTTAACTGGTAGGATCTGAGGACATTGCTATAGCCCCCTAAAGCAAGCCTCTACTTTTTGCTCCCAAGTGGATGTTCCTTCCAGACTTTGGCATGAGTTCCTCAGGAGGATTTGCTTTCCGACGAGTAGTGACGATACAGGAAACCTACAAGAATAGCGCCCAGGATGGGGAAAATCCAATACGCCCAACAACTAGAAGGGAGACAAGGAATGGGGAAGAGAAGCAATAGAGTTATGAGTATTTAAACCAAACGTTCATTCTCTCTCAACATTTACATTTTGATAGCTAATATAGGAATGGAGCTTTGGATTACCTCGGGAAGTTTAACAGCTTTCAGACTGGAGTGACAAAACTAAAAAGTAATTTTTAAAAAGACAAATATATTCTGAAAATTAATTTTCAAAAAAGGTTAAAATAGACTGCATAGATGACATCAGAAACAAAGTGCACAAACCTCTGTACATGTGTGCATAAAATCATATGGGATTGGGTATAGTTTAAGATTTTCTCCCCTGTACTTTACACGTTGTTTTATACATATCCCCGATGAATGACTTTAAAGAAGAATAAGCATTAATACACAGGTATTTATACCATTTGCAAGTTATATTTCCCATTATAAGTTTGGAAACAATATTATCTGAGACATCTATCAGCATTATTCTAATTGCTTAATATTTAATCCTCTTAACAACTTTATGAAATAGATAGTAATATTTTGACCTTATGATTTCTCTACCTCAAATCACCAGGCTATAAGATAGTTAAGGCAGTTTGATTCCAAACCCATCCTTTTAATCTTTATTTAAGCCTGAAAGCTAGTCAGGGAATATGCACACAGCATATTAATAGTTCTAACAGAGTTAAGCAACTGGAAGTAGGCTTATACAAGATACTGCAAAAAAAATTTCCTGAAGAAATTCAGAAAACTAATTATTCTCCTTAAAACAATTTCTTTTTAGGAGGCTCAACTGGCTAATTCTCTGCCTGCAAGCACTGGCATCCCATTTGGGTACCAGTTCATGCTCCCTACTCCACATCACAAGCTCCATGCTTGTGGCCTGGGAAAGAGGCAGAGAATGACCCAAAGCCTTGAGACCTTGTACCCACATGGGAGACCCAGAGGAAACTCCTGGTTCCTGGCTTCGGACTGGCCCAGTTCCAGCCACTGCAGTCATTTGGAGAATTGAAATGTCTCGCTGCCTCTCCTTCTCTCTTTAAATCTGCCTTTCCAACAAGAATTAAAATAAGTCTTTAAAAGATAAATAAATAAAATAAAAAGTAATTTTTCTTTACAATGGTTTATTAACTCTGCTAGTTCTAAGACATCATTCTTCCACGATCCAAATAACCTGGCTACCCTCTCTTAAGACTTGTGCAAGTCTTCCTGTTAAAGTTTTGAAACCAATAAAACCAGCTGAGATTCATAATAAAAGTGACTTTCTTTGCCTAAATCTGCCTAGAACTTTTTATACTTAAATTACAGGAGAAAGTTACCCGGGACAGATTCAGAATGTCAGTCAAGCAGGTTTGCTTAAAAAAAACAAGCAAGATTGTAGTGTAACACCAATGGGGCATAGGGGAGCTCTGAAGTACTCTCCCCATATGGGCAACATATTCAGGCCACTTGAGGGCCTGGAGTTCCAAAGCAGCATTTCTGAGAAAACATGTAAATAGACAAGTGTTTCAGTATAAAAGACTGTAAATTTTTGACCAGCAGTTCTCATAGACTCTTCCCTAATACTTAACTGCCACCAAGGAGAGAACCAGAGGCAGCTCATCTCTCCTGCACCAAAGGAGACAAAGGTACAACAATCACTAATGTACAACAATAACTTTCTGCCATAAGGCAGAATTCTCGGAGCTTCATCCAAGTCATTCCTCATAGTTGCAATTCATTTACTTTTATTGCCTTATATTTCATTGTATGAATATTTCACAACTGATTTGTTCATTTGATAAATGAATATTTGGCTATTTCCAATGATGGAATAAATTAAATAGTCCTGCTATGAACATTCTTATACATTTTTCATGAAGCATGTGGCCACATTTCTATTGACTAATCCTTAGAAAAGCAACTGTTAGGTTAAAAGTTCACATTGTCTGGATCAGCAGATCAAGCCATTTTGCCTGTGATGTCTCTTCTAACTCTGACCTTCAAAGGACTAAAATCTTTTATTTAAAAAAAAAATGTCAAATTTATTAGCCAAACAATCTCAAAATGCTTTCTAAAATGACTGTACCCATTTACATCCTCTTAGGAACAATTAAGTATCCTGGTGACCCACTTCCTAACTATCACAGTCTCAGCATTTTTAATATTTAACAATGTGGTAGGGGTTAAATCTATCTGAATTTTAATTTGTAGCTCTCTGATGGCAAAAAAGATTATAAAAATGAGATTATATACTGCATAAGAAAGTATACAAGGATACTAACCGTTTGCACGTATTCTTTTGTGAAGGGACCTAAAGAAGACACATATCAAAAAAAAAAAAAAAAAGCAAAAAATGATTAACACAGCACATACAAATCTTCACTATCTATATAAGCTCTGTAGCTGATAACAGAACTTCATCTTACATGCATTTTAATGTTTATAACTCCAAAAGCAACCAGTGACTAGGAATTTCTGGCAAAACATTCTTATTCCTTACTGAAGACTAACAAAGGATAAATACGAATTCAACTTTCTTAAATTACTTATATTTATTTTTTATTAGAAAGTCAGATATACAGAGAGGATGAGAGACAGAAAGATCTTCTCTCTGATGATTCGCTCCCCAAGCGGCCACAACAAACAGAGCTCAGCCCCAATCCGAAGCCAGGAGCCAAGAGCCTCCTCTAGGACTCCCACACAGGTGCAGGGTCCCAAGGCTTTTGGCCATCCTTGACTGCTTTATCAGGCCACAGGCAGGGAGCTGGATGGGAAACGGGACTGCTGGGATTAGAACTGCAACCCATATGGGATCCCAGCGCATGCAAAGCAAGGACTTAAGCCACTAGGCTACCACGCTGGGCACAACCTCAATCTTTTGAGAAGTGAAAAGCACAAATGATACCAATGATACTAAACACACTCATTTGCAGTCAACATGACATACGTTGATCAGACAGGCTGGCCACTAGCAGTAGTTAGGATAGCATTTTCTGAAAACATTCTTAAAAGCCCCAAAACTCTTCTCTTGCAGCACAAATGAACTGGTTAAAAGCTCTAACAGATTGCTACTTCGTGGCTTAAACAAGTTTACTCTTTGAAAAAAAAAATATGATGATGATCTTAGGACTTACTCCACCGCAAAAGGGGGAAGGGGAGAATAAAGGCAAAGAAAAATCTTAAAAAAAAAAAAAGGCAATAAAAAATAATGAAATATTGCTATGTGCTCCAACCCAGACAGAGCTTTAAAACATTATACTAAGTGAAAAAAGCCAGACACAAAAGATCATGTTATATAAGACTGTTTATATGAAATGTCCAGAATAAGACAATCAGTAGAGGCAGAAAACAGATTAGTTGTTGCCTAGGGCTGAGGAATTGGAAGGGGAGGGAAACCAGAAAACTGCTAAGGACGAAGAGGTTTCTCTCTAGAGTGATGGAATTGTTCCAAAATTGATTGTGAATGTACTAAAAGCCTCTGATCTACACATTTCTTTTCTTCATGTCAGAAGTTTATTTACAAACATATCTAGTACGCTCTGAGTTCAAGAGCTTGATCCATCTTCCGCAGACTGCACGTCTTGAAACACCATCATCTCAAAGCGCCCCATCTCTTCAGCAGCTGCTGTGGGACGATGAGGAAGGGTGCGGCAAGCCCAGAACCAAAACACAAAGTCATCGTGGCCAGCAGCCTCTGCTCGCTTCCCACAGAAAACACCAGATTCTTCCCTGAGCCCTCTTCGTAGTGGCTCCTAGGGACCACTGAGGCCGAGCCCCTCCGGGCAGCCTGGCCCACCATGGCGCGGGGCACAGAGACAGAAGGCGGGAGAAATGGCGGCGCCATCTCAGGCATCGCTTTCGGGCTCGGCCTTCCCTCCGCACAGGCGAAGCAATTTACACATTTCAAATAGGTGAATTGTACAATACATGAATTATATCTCAATATACCTGTTATTAAGATGTTTTTACCCCATTATAAGCATCAAATGAGGTTACTGATTCTTATCAATTAGTTGTATAATAGAGTGGATCTATTAATTTACTGCCAGAAGATAATAACCAACTAGCAAAGACTGCCATTACCCAAAATAGCATCTTTGCCAATATGTGTAAGTACACAATTCATGAATACAGAGTCAGTGCTGCATAACCACAGTTTTCAGTAATCTGTAACTTCCACAAATCACACACACTGGCAAAGATGTATTTCATAGCACTCCATGAAAGGAACTTTAAGTTTACATAACGCAACACTGCCACACGAGTGCAGAAATACCCCAAATTAGTCTGCTGCAAGCAAGTAACACTTCTAATAAAAGGTTTTAGACAAACCACGGAAGAAGCTGGTGCTGCGGCTCAATAAGTTAATCCTCTACCTTCAAGTGCTAACATCTCAGGGGCACTGGTTCATGTCCCAGCTGCTCCACTTCCCATCCAGCTCCCTGCTTATGGCCTAGGGAGAACAAAGAATGGCACAAAACCTTGGGATCCTGTACCCTGTGGGAAACCCGGAAGAAGTTCCAGGATCCTGGCTTTGGATCAGCACAGCATCGGCCGTTGCGCTCACTTGGAGAGTGAATCATTGGACAGAAGATCTTCCTCTCTATCTCTCCTCCTCTCTGTATATCTGACTTTGCAATAAAAAACAAATAAATCTTTATTTTAAAAAAAAAGAAAAATATAAGTGCTGGCTGTCTTACAAACAGTTTGGAGACAAAAGATAGTGATGGTAGCAAACTCACCGAATTAGTTTATAACAATGCCCTCTTAAATATTCCACTACATGGGCCCAGTGGCGTGGTCTAGCGGCTAAAGTCCTCGCCTTGAACACGCCAGGATCCCATATGGGCGCCGGTTCTAATCCCGGCAGCCCCACTTCCCATCCAGCTCCCTGCTTGTGGCCTGGGAAAGCAGTCGAGGACGGCCCAAAGCTTTGGGATCCTGCACCCACGTGGGATACCAGGAAGAAGTTCCTGGATCCTGGCTTCGGATCGGCATAGCAGTGGCCGTTGAGCTCACTTTGGGAGTGAATCATTGGACGAAAGATCTTCCTCTCTGTCTCTCCTCTTCTCTGTATATCTGACTTTCCAATAAATAAATAAATCTTTAAAAAAAATTCCACTAAAGTAGCCAAAAAATTGAAACCCATTTTAAAAATCCACATTTTGTGCTCCATATACACCAATGACTTACAGTATAAACAATGTAGTTAGTGACTATAAAAATTTGAAAACCTTATGAGAATAATACATGTATTACAATATTTAATCTATAACATTAAAAGTACCATAGTTCATAGTCAATGTCTAGATTTCAGAGCTTTTAGCTTTTTTTTTTTTAACATTTACTTATTTTTATTGGAAAATAAGATTTATACAAAGAAGGAGAGAGACAAAGATCTTCTGTCCTCTGCTTCACTCCCCAAGTGGCTGCAATGGCAAGAGCTGAGCCAGTCCAAAGCAAAGAGCCAGGAGCTGCTTCTGGGTCTCCCACACCAGTGCAGGATCCCAAGGCTACAGGACATCCTCGACTGCTTTCCCAGGACACAAGCAGGGAGCTGAACTGGAAGTGGAACAACCACATGAACCAGTGCCCATTTGGGATCTCGGTGCATGTAAGGTTAGGATTCAGCCACTAGGCCACTGTGTCAGGCCCTTTAAGCTTCTTTTGTAACAAAAAGCCCTGTAAATGTGCTGGCTAGAATGAATCTTAGAAAATGCAATAAATAAGCAACTAAGAGAAGACAAAAGGATGGGGATATGGATAAAGACAGGAAGAGGGACGGAGACAGAGGAAGTGAATAAAACAAAAAGAAGCCAAGACCATAATATGCTGAAATCATAATTGTTTCTAATAAATAATGAAATATTTTAAACATTGATGGTGTTTTTGAACTAAGTATCCACTATCACTCATCCCCGAGTGGGAAGGGTTGGCGCAAAGGAGTATACACACCTAATACATTAGACAAAAAGAAGCACCCGCTCCCTTTCAGATACTGACTGCTAAATAAATGTGTCAAATTACCAGGGCCCCGCTTCTAATCAATTATAGCAAAAAAGATGTTTAAGGCACAACAGCCCTGAGCAGCCAACTCCCCAAGTTGAAAAGAAACCAACTAAGTTACTTTTTACTTTTCAAAACTGAAAAGAGCTCTAACACTTAACCTTCCTTCCCCTCCACCCTTGTTTATGCATAGTGCTCAACCCTCATTTCCACACCAAAGCTCTGCGCTAACCCTGACGGATGCTTAAGTGCAATATCTACAGTTTATAACTAACTTGCTTTGATCCTCTGGGTGCTGAGGCATACCTGGCCAGCTGTGTTCGTGCTCAGACTTGAACACTCTCAACTTTTCACACAGAGAGTTTGCAATTGTGATGCTATGATTTTTGTTATGAGACAATTAACTGAATTCAAAATTATTCCTAGCATCAGACCAACAAAGTGATTAATATTCATGCTTCTTTACTTGCAAACAACAAAACTACTCTAAGTGTACTTCGAGTTCAGCTCAAAACTATAAAAATTGTTTCAATAAAACTGGTTCCTACACTTGATCTTAACCAAAAGGTCGAGAAGCCATAAAACTGGTTCCTAATGTTCAAGTTTTTTGAAGGCTTTAACCCCACCAGGAAATAAATACATTAATACACACACACATGAAGAGGACTCCTCGTATTTTGTAAAGCTGCCCATTACCAAAATTATGTCTGGTACCTTTAAGCTCAAAACTATGAGTAATTTTTTCATTTGTAAAATGAAAGGCTCATATCAAATGAATTTGAATTTTAAAGACACATGATTTTTGAACCAAGGGTACTTTAGCAAAGACTATAATAAAGTTACTTTCTAAAGGGAAGAAAGGATGCACCACCCTCTCCTACCTAGGAGGCCTGCGTGAGCACCACTAGAAGTTCACTGTTCCTTCTTTCCCACCAGCTACTATAAGAGTGCCTGCCGGGATACTCTCCTGAGCAGCACAGCATGCTGCATCCAAACCTGTTCTGAAATGTTTATGAGATATGATGAAGAAGTATCAGAACTTGGGCCCTGTGCAGTAGCCTAGCAGCTAAAGTGTTCGTCTTGTACAAACCAGGATCCAGATGGGCGCCGGTTCTAATCCCTGCCCACCCCTCCTTCCCATCCAGCTCCCTGCTTGTGGCCTAGGAAAGCAGTCAATGAGGGCCCAAAGTCTTGGAACCCTGCACCCATGTGAGAAACATAGAAGTTCCTGGCTCCTGGCTTCGGATTTGCTCAGCTTTAGCTGTTGGGACCACTTGAGGAGTGAATCAGCGGATGGAAGTTCTTCTCTGTTTCTCCTCCTCTGTTTATCTGTCTTTCCAATAAAAATAAATAAATCTTTAAAAAAAAAAAGGAACTTACTGGAAACCATTTCTTTCTGAGTGAAAATACAGCTTAACAGTCACAGTCTTGCAAAGCAGACAATACTTAGAGTTAGGTTAGTAGAAAACATTTCCCTTAAGATATGGCAAAATTCAAATATAAAAATAAAGGGCCAGTACAGTGATGTACCAGGGTAATACTCAGCCTGTGCTGACGGCATTCCATATGGGCACGAGTTTTGAGTCCTGGCTGCTCCACTTCCAATCCAGCTTCATGCTTATGAATTGGGAAAGCAGCAGATGGCTCAAAGCCTTGGGACCCAGCACCCTCATAAGAGGGTGGAACTCCTGGCTCCTGGCTTCAGCTGGCTCAGTTCTAGCCATTGCGGCCACTTGAAGAGTGAACCAGCGGATGGAAGATCTTTTTCTCTGTCTCTCCTGGTAAATCTGACTTTACAATTTAAAAATTAATCTTTCAAAACAAATAAGTAAAAACAAATAAATCTCATCCAGGATCTGAAATCAGGCTGGAACACTGCTCTGTGTAGTGTAGGTGGCCTTGCATTTTTCATGAAAGGCTTTTCTTTGCCTCCAGTACCTGAAACGCAGCAGTGTGACTGGAAACACATACGAGCAACTAACAGGACTGTAATTAATGGGCTCACGTCTCTCGAGTACAGGTGACAAAAGGAGAAGAGAAGCGTGAAAACACTGTCTTGTCACTCTTTAATCTAACAGGGACTAAGTTATTGCTGAACTTGTTAAGCTGAAGTGGTTTCTTTCCTGTAATGCAAAACTAAAAAGTTTTAATTTCAGCGAAATCTCTAATTAGTTCTTTGGCCTACAGAAGGCAGACAGAGTTCTTCCACAGAAAAGGACTCACTTTCTTTAAGTTCCAAATGAGAAAATGGGCTTATCAGTGAGTCAAAAGAATAGTGTGTGGCTCCCTAGTTATCTCCTGGGTTACTTAAAACCCAAATTCAAGCCTTACCTCCACAGATTCTGAATTAGAAAACCGGAAGCCCACAAATTATAAACACTAAGGTATTCCAATTGAGATTATATCAGGAACAGAATTTGAAGAACATTCTCCATTCTTAAGCACAATCCCAACTAACTATTATGCAGCAGTGAAAATATTACTTCATATAGTAATAATAATTTTAAAACATTTTTGTTAAATGTAAAGCGTACTGTCATTGCACAGCAGAAGTAAGTAGTATCTCCTAGATTATAAGATTTGTCTCTTACACAAATGGGAATACTTCTCAAATCAAATGTTGACTTCTCAAGAGTAATACCTCCTGGTCATGTTCAAATCAGTCATCGAGGCCACACTTGGCTTAGATTTTTCCCTTAATAATGAAAGTGAGGATTCCAGGGTGGGAGGGGCATTTGTGAGGAGGGGAATACAAACCACCTGACAGATGTTATAAGGGATCATTTCAGTCCTCTTTTATAAATAATTCAAATCTTCCAGAGTCAAAGAGTCTAGCAAGAAGAAAGACTTGATTTACACAAAAACTGAGGACTACAGGACAACAGCTGGCAGGAACTGTCAGCAAGCAGCCTCTCCAGGGGAAAGAACAGAGTCCAGGCTAATTTAACTGTTGCATCACATCTGTTCAGTCATACTGTTCAAGGAGGAAACGGAAGCAACAAGCCGTAAGAAGGAAAACGGGGAGGCCTTGTTGCCTCCATGATATCTCAGGTCACAACGAAACTGTTGTCCATTTCAACCAGAGGGTAGCATAACAGCTCCCACTGGAGGAAAAGAAATCTAAGAAAATTAGCAAAGTTTGGAAGATGAACCATCCAGTTTGGGGGAAGCAGAAAAGGCTTT